CCCTCAAGAGTAGGATAACCCTTGGCCAACCAAGACTTGTGTCCCTCAAGGGTAACGGTCTCCGCACTCCTGTGCCCCATTCTGTGAGGAGACAGTGGTGTCCAGCAGCCTCCGTCTCAGTGGCAGTCAAAGGCGTTTATGTTTCTAATTCCTCTGGTGGCTTTTGAAAGTGATTCTCTGGGCTGGTTTTTCAAAGTGTGTGAAGCATTTAGGGCTGCCGGCTGAGACCTAGTGATACCTTCAAACAACATGTAGTGGCACAAGCCTTATGGGTGGTTCTGAATGTTCCTTATGAATGTGTATGTTCATACTTGGGTCTTTGGAATGACCCTAAGTTCATGTTCATTATTGTTTTAAATCTTTCGAAGGGCTGTAATGTACATTTTCTCTGTCACTTTTTGGTCCCTTGTGCTGGCTGTTATCTTGAGGAAATGTGAAAAGTCATTATAGATTTCACTCATTAACTTAAACATGTGTTTGATTGATCATATCCAGACAGATAATACCTGCAGAATGCCTTTTAAATAGTATTTACAGACTTCAGTTTTAGCCGACACCTACAATCTAGTTTCTTCAGAACATGCACATCGATATAATTGTATATTTTCTATTGTAATCCGGAACATTATCAGTAATTATTTGAAATTTCATTTACACGCAAGCCAAAGGTGGGCTTCTTTATTTCAGAGACATCTTACAGAATACATTTCTAAAACATGTTCCTTTCCCAACAGAATATTTGAAATCAAGAGGATATACTGTGCCTTAGAAGTTGTAATAGCTCCATTTCTCAGCATGTTTTTCCACTTGAGTTGTCTCATCGTTGGAAATAACCAGGTCAGCAACATTCAGCTGAGCAGCAGGAACCCCTCACCACCTCGAACTGTTCACCTGTTGTTCCACTTCTGTAGTGTTTGTCTCTCAGTCCCCAGTCATCGTCACTGGAGCAGCTGCCTGACGTGTCCCTTCGTTCTTCCATGGGTTGTCATTCCCTGTTGTCCTCAGAAGAGCACAGAGAATGAGCATGATGCTTCAAGTTGTCTTGTTCACTCTGCTCCAGCATCATCCAAGGTGCCAGCTGGTTGTCACAAATTTGGGGAGATACAGTTGGAGGGAATTTAATTCACAGGTAGAAGACACTCCCATTCAAAGTGACACCACACCTACTTCAAGGAGATGTTTTTCCTTTCTAGCAGGAGAATATGCTGAGTCTCTTCAAACTTTGGTGTCATGAGTTCCCGTTCAAGGTTGGGAAACTTCTAAAATGCCAAAGGCAATTTTATATATAAAAAAGGGATTTAGGGTGTGTTTAAGGAATTGTGAAAGCTATATTATAGCTGGGATTTCATCAAAACTTCTCCTTTCAGTGGAGCTTTGATTGGAAAGATCCGTATCGGGAATTATTGGGAACCACTGACGAAGGCTGGAGATCCAATAAGGGGCTGCAGAAAAGTGCATTGTCATAAAAGTTGATTTCTGAGATCTCATAAAGATATAAGTGTCCACTTAGTCATTGAGACCTGTTTCAATGTTCTTGTTCTTTTATTCACTTCTATATTGCAGGGTGTGTTTCTGGGCAGGCCCAAATATGGTAAAGCTCAACGGAGAATCTGTCAACAACACCGTGCTGATGAAAATAATAAATTGGTTTCCACCTTCACGCCCATGCCGTCCCAGCCCACCTCCAGCAGTGGATAAAAGGGAGTGCCTGAAGCTGTGGAGCCAGAGAAGACTGTGCACACTTCTCTCTGCATTCATCCCTCACCAGCACAGCTCCGTTGGTCTGTCTGCTCTTCTCGATTTTGACTCTGCTTGGAAGAAACAGCCATGTCTCGGCAGTCTGTCTGCAGAAGCTTTGGAGGCGGGAGTAGAAGGGGCTACAGCTCTTGCTCTGCCATCGGTGGTGGCTTTGGAGGAGGTGGCGGCAGAAGCAGGATCAGCTACAGTTCATACTCCTCATCCAGGGGAGGTGGAGGAGGTGGACATTGCGGAGGTTTTAGCAGCAGGAGCCTCCATAACATGGGTGGCAGCAGAAGAATTACTGTGGGTGGATGCTACGGTGGCGGAGGATACGGAGGCAGAATGGGTGGTTTCGGTGGAGGCTATGGAGGAGGAATGGGTGGCTTTGGCGGAGGAATGAGTTGTGGAGGAATGGGTGGCTTTGGTGGAGGAATGGGTGGGGGTGGAATGGGTGGTGGAGGAATGGGTGGCTTTGGTGGAGGAATGGGTGGTGGAGGAATGGGTGGCTTTGGTGGCCCTGGCTTCCCTGGAGGCATCCAGCCGGTGCAAGTTGACCCAAGCCTCCTGCGGCCGGTCCATGTTGAGATCGACCCCCAAATCCAGCAAGTGAAAAACCAGGAGAAGGAGCAGATTAAGACTCTTAACAATCAGTTTGCCTCCTTCATTGACAAGGTGAGAACTTAGGACTGGGCTTGTTTGGAGGTGGGCATGTTAAACTTCTTGTGGTGTGAAAAGGGGATTTTCTTCTTACCAGCAAGTACTAGTTAAAGCTTGCAAGACTGACGCCTTATTAGCAAGTTATTGTTAAGGTCTTATTAAGTGATACCGAACAATAGACAAGGTTTTCATGCTAACGGAAAACAAAGAGAACACCTGCAGGACATTCCGTAGATTCTCTTGCTTGTCGTCTCTTCAGCCTAATTTCTAGTGATTCAGGGTAAAGTCATCATCATACATTCAGTTGTCATAGGAGTTTTCATTACTGTGCTGCTGTTTTTGATGAAACTTTCTCTTCAAGGAACAGATTTTATAAACTTAAGAGTGTTAAATACCTTCCCAACACTTTTGCATTGCTTTAATTTCAAATAGAACCAAAGAAATCCAGAATTTATGTGCAGTTTGATGGAAAAGCCATTGTTTTCTTGACTTCACTACTGGAAAGATGACAGCAATGTCCAAAACTGACGCTATGGAAAATAGGGATGCTGTTTTCTATCGGCAGCACCTCTTTGTCCCAAAGTGAGACATTCAAAATGACTCAGAATTTAGTAATGCTTGTTATGTACTTCAGGAGCTTGGATGTTTGAACGAGCCATAGTTGGAAACGATTCCCTTGGCCTCCCAACTAAGCAGGAGGTTTGAGCAGTGCGATGTCTCCCCGGGTGAATCTCTCACACACACCGTTGTGGGCTTTCAGGTCCGCTTCCTGGAGCAACAGAACAAGGTCCTCTCCACCAAGTGGGAGCTCCTCCAACAGCAAGGCCCTTCGGGGCCCAGGAAGAACCTGGATGTCATCTTTGAAAACTACATCCAGAACCTGAGGAGGAGGCTAGAAGCCCTCCTGGGGCAGAGGGGACAGCTGGAGTCGGAACTGCAGAACATGCGGCAATACGTGGAGGAGTACAAAACCAAGTAAGTGCGGGGAGAGACGGAGGAAGACGTGAGCAGCCGGACAGCAGAGCCAGGCCAGCCTGGAGATTTCCACACTCTCCTCCCCTTGCTGTGGAG